AGATACTCGATGGACTTGCGTCAGGGGTGCTCTCAGGGGATTGTATCATCTACCGTACCCCGGACTTCCACCAGAAAATGTCACAAAGACACAGGCACGCAGGTACAAAATAGGGCGTTTACTTTCGCAACCCAAGGGCCAGAAACGTGAACACCAGAGCACGCGCACACAGAACTACTTCGTTGTCCTCTTCAGAGGCTGCCTACTATAGTTGCCAGCCTACCTTGCGTCAATATGTAATTTGCATACTAATTATTGAAACGTGGAGAGCTTCGTTATTCTGTCGTGGTTCTCAATATGGATGTGAAATGTTAAAACTAACAAGAGGAGGGTCTCCGTCATATATTTTCTTTTCGTTGCTCTGGAAGTAAACGCGCTGAAGCAATCGTGGGAGCGTACCTGCCATTCGCAACGCTTGGGGAGCCTTACCAGTAGGATACATTTGTTTTCTATATAGCACAGAAAGCAACGACGTACTACGAATTTGAACAGCCGTGATAATCACACTAAGTGGTTGTACGTAGATTTATCGTAAATGCACATATACGAAACTTTCGCGGCCCCCTAGGTAATGTAACTGGTTGAAGCACACCTGTGGTCTTCAGCGGTGGTTATTTTGTGGCGTTGGCCTTCACGGCAGCTTTTTACATAGCGCTTGACGTACGCGGCAAGTTTGGGCTAGTATTACGCCGGTCGAACTTTGGCGAGAGTTCGTGAAGAACCGAAATGACGTGATGTGGGCTCGTCATGGCAGGCGAGAATATTTTCAGTAAGATCGAGACGCTAGACCTGCTGATTTCGCTGCCGCTGGACAAATACGTCATTACACTGGCTTTCCAGTGTCAATGCGAAAGCGCCTCGGTTTTTGTGTTGCGATGACACTGTATGAATGAATGAATGAATGAGTGAGTGAGTGAGTGAGTGAGTGAGTGAAAGAACGTAGAAGTGAAGACATATATTGTACGACAATAAATACCATGAAATAGACTCTCTTTCTTTTCTGGAGCAGTAATGGTGATATATATGATCGCAGATACTGAGTGCAAAACGTTGAAAAAATCAAACATACTTTAGACGATACTCTATGTCAACCTAGCAAATGAAGCCCAACCGGTACAGAATAAAGTTCTCGTACAGCTGACCACTTTCTATGGTAACTATACGGAGAGGAAGACAGAAGCTGGGAAATACGCAAGAGGAAAAAGATTCGAGATGTTATCCTGAATGCAACACGTTTAATTCATGACGCACTTGTACAACTATGAGCAAACATCAATCAGAATGCAAGCTATAGGTGTAATGGGTGTCATATTTGAGGCGAAAATCTTACGTAGGAGTAAAGTAGCTTGCAGCACGGATGATCTATGTCAAGATGTTACCTAATGCTAACTGTAGCTTGTCCTTTTTTTTTTCGTTTGCAAAAAAAAAAAAAGATTTGAGAAATACGATTCAGGTATCGAGCAATAAACTGAACAAAAGTGTTTGCAAAAAGGCTGGTTTTACGAATACACCGCATCCATTACGTAAACGCGTGCTGTGTTATGGTGAAACAGAAGTAAATGTGAACGTGACGAACTTTGTTTGAATTTAATAAGCGAAACAAGGGTACTTTTGTAGAAGAAAGGGAAGCCATAATGGTGCAATCTCTACGTAAGGTTAAAAGAACGTCATTTCAAGCACGAGTAGTCTCCTTTTAGCAGGTGCTCGGAAGCGTGGGATTTTAAATTCTCTTGATGTTCAACGGCTGAGTGAAGCACGTCGGCTTAACGAAAAGCGCTATTTCGAATGCTGGATTTTTTGTAGCTACCATATAGGCTGCTACGAAAAGTGGCATGCTTAATGGCGCGTGTCCTTAAAATGACTGAAGTGATTATTAGCGGCTCTATGATGAGAGACTTCAAAGCACAGTTTTCACAACCGCCGCTCTGCAATGCCTCAGTGGACACCAATGGTTGGTTTTTAGGACCATGTTGTCGCAGCGAAAGCTGTTATGAGATGACAAGTGCCGATTTTGGCCCATGTAATTGTGCGCTACCACAGCCACTGGTGTATGTAACCACTACAGAAGAAATAACAAAAATTAATGAATAAAAAATAGCAACGACAGCTAGAGATTTAAACCATACCCCTGAAGAACAAGGTTCGAATAAACAGTTATCCGACAAAACAAAAGAATTATTATTATTTATGACGTAGTGCGTACAGCGCAAATTTGCAAAAAACTCTAGAAAGGTCCCTTATCCAGCTTTCGCTCTGACTGGGCGGCGACTTTCATGCAGCTCTGGCAACTTTTTTTCTATTTGTTCGATTACTCACGTTCCGTCAGTTGTTCTTTTCATTTGAAGAGGAATCAGGCATCTAAACTTTATTGTGTTTTTCCCGGCACTAAAGATGTATCGTCGCCGCAAGGACAACCTAGAAGCATCGCAATTGTAGAGTACTCTTGCTAAATATAAAAGTTAATTATAGAACCGAAGACTCGAAAACACCTATGCACATTGAAAAGAACAAATGGACTGAACGCGGTAGCACAAGGATTTGATCCACGTGCACACCTACTTTCAGAGACAACACTCTGTTGTAGTTGCTCTATGAGTTAGTTAAAAAAAACGAAGTTCAGTAGTATTTAGTGCCAAAACAGGAATGCTGAGATAACCAAAAAAAGTGGGAGGAGCACTGAAAATGCTGCTAACTAGTGCATAGTAACACGCACAAGCACTGATGTATGGTACTGCTAGTTCCTTCGGGTTTGTTGTTTTCTGCTATGGTTGCCACCATCGTGATTTCTTTTGGTTGTCGTTGAGTAGATTCACAAAGGAGCCATCTTAAGCTATAAGTAGCCAAAATAGCCAAGTCATCTCATCGTATTGCTTCGATTGTTGCCAAATTATAGAAAAGAAGTATCACGAAAAGAGTTTTTATAACATTTTTGAAGAATAAGCAACATTTTCAATTTGTATTAAAACAATAAAATAGCATTTTTTTCTATCCTTTCGCCTGGTCTTCAATACAAGTCAAGTTGCAAGGTAACTAACAAATTAAATGTTGCGTGCACTGCATATTTGTATAATTAAATAGTAGGTGCCAGAGGTATACAGTAAGATTAGAACATTTCAGACAACCAGTTAATAGGAACAGTAATATTTGAAGCAAGTCGCGCTTGAAGTCACTAAGGAAAAATGGTCCGAATAGCTACGATAATACAAGTCCAGGCTCAAGTTGTGACATCACATTGAAGATGACAAGTCAACGGTTATATTGATGCGCATGATTATTTTTGTCAAATTCGTGCAAGAACAAGCGCTGTGCATTAAAACTAGAAAGTGGCTTGTAGCGTCCCTATCTATTATGGGCAGCTTGACCAGCGTGCCAGCCGCGCGTTTGTCAACATGCGTGCAACTTCATTTTAAAGCCAAAAGGCCAACCTAAATTTCCTATTTCATGCGCTGAAGTTATTTTGGTAAATCACAAGGTATATTGTGTAACTAACCCATTTTCCTATCTTCAATTCGTAAATAATTTTATAAAATTGCCGAATTCTTGGCTAGTTGGTGGGTCATATTGACTAGGTGAACAAGAGCTTCGTCGAGACATCTTAACAGTTGCACCGCGCGTTCCGTTGAGGTGCTTCGATGAACACCAGACTGCTCGCAGCTTGAGGACATGCTCATAGATCAGCTTACACGTTTTAAAAGCTTGTAAACAAAGAGTAGTAGCTACTATATCGATATTTTATGGGTAAATACTACGACAGATGGCTACTAGATGTGCTATCATAGAAGTTGGAAAGAACCAAAAAGTAGCCATGTACACCAATGTAAATTCTTGTAGCCAGACGGCGTCAAAAAACAGCCAATTTTGCGCAAAGTGTCCACCAATGGCAATCCTTATTGCCACGTCGAAATCAAGACGAAGGGGACATGGGCAAATCGTGTAACGTGTAGGACATTAAGAATAGCTCACTGGATTACAAGAGAACGCAAATGCGCAATGGTAATACAGAAAGTTAGGTGGGCAAAGTAGATTAAGGAATTTGCGGATATAACGTGACAGCAGCGAGCACAAGACCGATTTTGTTGGTGGAACCAAGGAGAGGCTTTTGCCTGGCAGTAAGTGTAGTGAGGCTGATGATGATGACGATGCCTAAATAGCACAAAAAATGTGAAATGCCAAAGAGAACGACACGGACGGAACGTGGCACTAACATCCCGTCCCTTCGTCGCCACGTCCCGTCTGTTTCCATCACCTCGTCCTGGGTTATTTTGGAGCTAACTAGGTATCGTATCAGGCCTCTACAGACGCACACTAATAAATCGAACTTTAAATCAGAAAGATTCGTTCAAGGTTTTGCTGTTGTTTCCTGCCGAAATATATTACGCCTCGTAGGTTGCACAAAATTACGTCACGAAAATCTCCTAAAAATGTAAGTGGCACTCAGACTCTATGGCGAATAGAATGCGTAAAAGTTATTAAATGAATCAATGAATTTAATAATTGAATAACGTGTTAATTACATTTTCAAAATGTACAGACGAGAGTCCCAACAATTTAAACTGCACCGGGACCCTCGGTGGAGGCTACATATAAATAATACAAGAAGTTGGAGTAGTTTAGCTACATGTTCATGTGAACTAGAGCGTGAAGTAAATGTCTTTCGCCCGGCCTGGTATTGGTAGGCTGATGTGTCGATGCGCTGGCATAAATGGCATGCCAACATGTAAATATGCAAAATGTACATATTCTTGTTTTATTTGCGTCTCTTGTTTACCTTGAAATATTTTTTGTGACAGTGTTTGTGTGAATCATCGAATGGACATGTTCTTTCAACGTCATCTCATATCCATGTTCATGTAAACGACGTCTGTTTTGTAATCATTGTTATTGTATGTCTAAGAAGAAAATGTTCTGTTGAATGTTATGGACGTTCGTGAAAATAATTTTTTTCTAAACAATGCGCTACATGTAACACTTTGAGTACCCATACTACATGCCTAATGCAGGTGTGCTGGGCGTCGTGGTCACCGAGGTGCGGCTCCTGTCGGACAGCAACAAGACGCAGTACGTTCTTCAGGGTGAGGGTGCCACGCTGCTCTGCTTCTTCGTGCTGTCGCCGGGAGAAGACCTGCGCCGCGTCCTCTGGTTCAAGGACGGCGCCGAGGTGTACGTGTGGCGCAAGGGACGTCGTCCGCTGGCGCGCAACCTGTTCGACAAGCGCGTCGACCTGAGCAACCGCTCACCGTCCTTCATCACCATCCTCAACGCCGACATGTCGATGCAGGGAAACTACACGTGCAGAGTGGAGACAGATGCGGGCGTCTCGCAGAACGACCTTTTCCTTACTGTCATTGTTGGTGAGTGCTTCGTTCACTGATACAGAAAAATCCGGAAGCAGCCCTGATCCTTGACCCCTAAATGTCCGATATTGCCACGTGCGTTTCTTATATACACTTATGTTTCATTCTGTTTTCAGCTGTCTGATAATGCCACATGTGTTTCTTATTTACACTTATGTTTCATTCGGTTTTCAACCACAAAGCCTGCCTGGAATGCTCAGCGCAAACTGCGCCTCGTTGTTCTAGAAGGTTCACAGTTATAGTAGATTGTTTTTAGTGACTGCTATACGGTTATTATAGAACAAATTGTGTGCAACTCGTAATGCAACGTCTATCGCCACCCATCACACACCGTTACACATGAAACAAATAATCACATGCTCTACCATTTAAGCCCTGGCCAAGCACACACGATCGGCAGCAGACGAGCATGCAAACGCTGCGGCCATGATGTTAGTTAACAAGCCGAAGGATTGTTGCACCAAAACTCTTGTGGCCGTGACACGACTCAGATCTTCAGTTTCTGACTTCGTCGTTCAAATAAAGCTATTTTGTTTCATATGTTTTTCGTGTCTTTTTTTTTTGGGGGGGGGGGGGGTATTTTTTCACCACCAACATGCGCAATGTGACATGCCAATCACTTCTCACTGGCTCGTTCACTTTATTGATGAGATCGGCCATGATTGTTCGCCTGGTTACTAGTCATAAACCGAATTTCTGGTCTGTACAAAGACGGGCACTTCTTTTTCACAAAACTTGTCAAGTACGCAGTATTCCTCGTATTCACCGATTCCATGATTGTAAACAGTGGTAGGCGTAATAGACATACTTAGGCGCTTGCAGTGGCGACGCGGTGCGTAGACTCCACCTAACCCAAAGCTCGCCACATACATCTATGATTACATCACAATTGGCACGCAAAGCGGCCTCCGAGCACTGTGCATCGATATAGCATCCCACGTGAACACGTGGCCGGCTCCGGATGCGCAGTGCTCGGAGACGTTTTGTTGCTGTTTGCGTTATGTGTTTATCATTGTGTATCTCATATTAAGCAGCTGGGGTAGCAGCTCAGGCGAAAAGCCAGACAAACATCTCCAGCTTTTCATTAAATAATTTCTTTCTCTGTCTCCTCTTATACCACAGACTCATGCAAAGAAGACAGCTGGACCACGTTCTCAGATCGCGTGACGTGCACGGAAACTGTGGAATTGGAGTGCGGTGGCATGTTCCCGAAGCCTTCGCCAGCGTGCGGAGTGTATAACGATCAGACTGGAGTGTACTTGAACACGGTGCCGTTTGACCGCTTAAGGACTGCAGCCAACTCGACTTACGAAGTGCGACTGCACCGCGTATTCCAGGTCGAAGACTGGCTCGCCTTCAGGAACCTGACCTTCCGCTGCCACGTCATTGTCCTTGGGACGGACTGGCGAACAGGAATCTCACATAAACTGTTCGGAGGTTAGTTGACCCTCATCTAGATGTGCAGTGAAAAATTGTTGCTCCATAACTTTCCTGGTTCTCACGGCTTTTACAGTGAAGGTATCGTAGTCTACGGCCCTACTGCCCTCGTCTGTTGCTCTCGTCGGCGTCGTAGCAGTAATATTATCAGCAACAGCAGCAGCAGTAGTAGTAGTAGTTGTTGTTGTTGTAGCAGTGTAAGTATTAGCAGTAATGGTAGTACTAGTAACAGCAGTAATAGTAGCAGTAGCCGTAGTATCAGTAGTAGTAGTAGAAGTAGTAATAGTAGTATAAATAGTCACTAGTAGTAGTTTTAGTTTTAGTAGTAGTAGTAGTAGTAGTAGTAGTAGTAGTAGTAGTAGTAGTAGTAGTAGTAGTAGTAGTAGTAGAAGAAGTGGTTATTCCAGTCACGGGATCAGAGGGCAAGCGAATAAAGATTGTCGAAATGATGATTATAGAGATCATGAGTCACGTGATCTCGCTAGCCAGTCACATCTGCTCGCATGCTTGCAGCTTAGCTGTGCGATGGCTTTCACGGTCTGCAAAATGGCTGAATCCTTCTTTTGTTTACTCTCCAGCGTATGATGACCAATCAGGTGCCAACAAAACTGCGACTTGTTCGATTTGCAGCGCGCACGTATGGACAAATTACGCACGATCAACAAATTACAAAGCTAACTAGATCTAGCGAGTACACTATCTCTATAACGCTATCTCAGGCTGTCAAGTGTAATGTCAGAGATGACGTAAGCCTGAAAGTAAACGGACAAGCTAAAATCAAGCTTACAGTGGGCGTACTGGCGGGAGTAAGAAAAAGGAATAACACGCCTTTTATAAACACTGAATGGTTTAATTTTCAAGGGCCAATAATTTTAATACACGGATTTTGTATTAACATGAACAGCTGGGACGCTTCTCGAAGTAATCGAATGCCCTTTATGGTGTCTTTTAAATGATTTAGATATTGTTTTATCATCATTGAAGCACAGAACTGCAATGAACTTAATGTTAATACGCACGCCGTTCTAGCGTTCGGTGATTCACAGAAAGCGCTAACACATTTAACTGTCACTGTTTTTGTACGCAGACTCAGGGTGCTCGCCCGATCCTCCGGAGATAGTGAATGGCTACTACAACATCAGTGGCGAGGAGACGTGTTGGCGCACCCCGGCCGAGGGTTCCTTGACGCGTTACTACTGCCTCGAAGGGTTCGAACTGCGTGGTCCTCGGGAGCTTGTGTGCCACAACGGCTCCTGGGTCGTGCCGCCACCGATGTTTACGTATTCAAAGAGACAGCGGGCTCCCGCAGCTGGAAGACCCATCATCTGCGGTGCGCCACTTCTACTTAAGTAAAGTGTCTTAAACACACAATCAAATGCTTAGGAGGCCATTCACACCGGTTACATGCACTGGTCGTACGACCGTTGGTGACTGCCGACCATAGAGTGACTCTAGGTGACCGATGTTCACGCACCTTTGTGCGACTTCTACCCGTTGTCCAAATTGATTTATGTCTGCTTGTATATGAGTTGTGTCGCCATTGGCCTGTAAAATAAGTTGACTTCTTGTTCCTGCGCATGTGATTGGTTCGAAGGTTTGTGACTGCTGTCGCGTGACTGAAAACTTGAACGGAGAGCAACTGCGACAAAAGCAGTCGCTTTGTGACAATCACTTAGCGAATAACTTAGTCACGCGACCAGTGCTAGTCGCAAGTGTGAACGAGCCTTCATACTAAACTGCAATGTGGACTTACGCGACTAGCGTTATACACTGGCGTTGATAAAAAAAAAACTAACGAGGATATCAGGTGATCTAAATATACAAGCAAAGGTATCGGAAAGTTGCGTACAATAGTCATAAAAGTGTCGATTTTATACTTCACAACTTTGCCGCAAACATCAAGCAAGCATGTGCCCATTTGTGCTGTGCCGGTCGTTTTGCCATATGTACGGGAAAATGTAAAGCGCCAGCTTGAGCTTATGTAATGATTAGAACAAATAATTTCGCATTTAAAATCACTTATATGCAGAAGCTACATGAGCTACACTATAACAAGAGGACCACTGGTCACACTAAAATATTATTCATCTTCGTGGATTTAAAGGATCCACTGACTAGTACTGCGTGACTGAAAGTTGAGTTTAAAAAGGATTTATGTAGAAAGTACGCAAGCTGCACGACATGTGACCAAAGCGGTTGCTGAGCTTCAGATTAGGTATATTAAGGGCTCCTTGAAGGTCCGACGTGCCCGAAGAGATGATGTTCTTTACTTATAGTCTCTTTGAAAAGCTGTCTCGCCATAGTGGTTTATTGGCTAAGGTACTCAGCTGCGCACCAGCAGGTCGTGGGATCAGATCCCGACTTCGGCGGCAGCATTTTGATGGAGGCGAAAGTTCTGTAGGCCCATGTGCTCATATTTAGATGTACGCTTAAGAACCCCGCCCCGCAGGTTGCGGGATCGAATCCTGGCTGCGGTGGCTGCATTTCCGATGGAGGCGGAAATGTTGTAGGCCCGTGTGCTCAAATTTGGGTGCACGTTAAAGAACCCCAGATGGTCAAAATTTCCGGAGCCCTCCATCATGGCGTCTCTCATAATCATATGGTGGTTTTGGGACGTTAAACCCCACATATTAGTCAATCAATCAATCAATCAATCAATCAATCAATCAAACAATCAATCAAAAACCCTGCGTTGTCAAAATTTTCAGAGCTCTTCACTATGGCGTCTCTTATAATCTTACGTTGGTTTTGGGACGTTAAACCCCAGATATCAATCAATCTTTGAAAAGCTACAAATGGCCCCAAAATATGGCAAAATTTCAAATTGTTGCTGTCTAATACACAATATGTAGGTGTGCTGACGTGAGCACTACGAATCTTTTCTCTCTTTAAGAGGTGCATATCGTGATCTTACAACAAATGCTGTTCACTTCCAGTCTGGAAATGCGTACGAAAGCCTTCTTGTTTGAAGGATTCACCAGATTTCTAAGCAACATTTCCAAAGACGTTTTCCAGGAAAATAGTGATTATGCACTATTCTTTGTTGTTACTTGCCTTATTTGATAGTCTCAGTGAATAGTAAGCAGGCCTAAATTTTCTACCTCACAATCTTTTCTCACAGAAATGAGCTGCCAAGCCGCTGTTGCGTTCAACCGCTTTTTCACTGCCATGATGACAACACTGCCCGTGCTACTGTCCCTCCACCTAATCTCGCCTGCGCCATAGATCCATTCCTTTTACACGTGCTCAGGACCTACCGGATGGAGGCAGGATAAGTAGGTGAGATATAAAATACATCACTAACGTCAAAGCATTCTTCGTACGTCATTATGAAGACATGTGCACTATTGTTATTTCTGTAGTAATTGCGCTCAAAGCTACTCATAAACACATTCATAGAAGCTAGATGATTTTTTTACAAGCAAGGGACATCACATCAAATGTCAACGTATCCTGGTGAAATACCTAAATCAATGCCCTTGTAATTGTCTGCCTCCTACTATGGTTTATCTTTCTTTGATATATTTTACTGATATAATTTACTGTGTTATTATTCACGAACACCAACGAATTCATGGTACGTTCTTACCGTGTTTTCAGAGCGCATAAAATATTAAGATGTACTTTCTGCCCGGTATAAATAAAGTTTTACTTGGCTGTAACAAAAATAGTGCTGTTCTATATTTAAACCAGCGATAAATGTTGCATCTGTTATAACTACTTCTGGAATAACTGTGGTAACCATTAATCAACTTGGCAACCATTATTTACTGTGGTAACCATTAATCAACTTGTCGGTCAGAGATTATGCGAAATCTAAGAGTACTATGCGGTAGAAAACATGGACGGGAAAAAGACAAGGACAAGCGCAGACTATCAACTGAAGGTTTATTCACCAACTGTATCACCAACTGGCCCAATAGGCCACCTTGATTATGCATGCGTTTTTTTTTATGGTTGACTTTGCGTATCAACAAGATTCAATGGCGTGCACTTATGACCAATGTTGAGAAATATTCAAAGAGCGTCACCAACCGTTTTCATTTTCAGTCACCTGGTATACGCTCGTGCCTTAGTTTCCGTTTTGGAAATCAGTTGACCCGGGCACTCACATGGTTATATGCTGGTCCGTCTACGGATCATTGTTGTAGCCTTCAACGCTGTCATGCTGCAAGGTAGGTGCTCTCCATCTCACTTCTCAAGTCGTTTAGCTCATAAAAACGTCGCAGTTAGAACGGTCAGCGACGCTGTCGTGTATAGTTAGCATCCAAGTATATAGATCACCAGGTTTGAGAAAATACAGAAATTAAACGCAATTACGACTGTATTCGGTGGAGCCCAACAGTTCATATCATGAGCCCGTTTTACAACTGGCACGAAATGCGAACTGACAGCTGCCTGCCGAAACAGCGGAAATATCAAGCTCTCACTACTTGTGTCTCGTGGTCCCTAATTTTTGAAAACTTACACTACGTTTTCTACGTTGCTATTCAGTCATCGTCTGTGCATAATGAAAAATTGTTGAACAGGTAATATCGCTTCAGGCAGTGTTTCTGCAAGGGTATTTGTCTTCGTGACAACGGAAACTTTCACTTGTTCAGCTTCATCTTTGGATTCGTTTTCAGATTCGTCTTCCTCAGTTGCTTCCCTGACGAAGTGAATTCCTTTTTTTTTTGGAAACGTTGGATCTGCGACATTCCTTGCTCAAAACGTTATTCTTACTTCAAGCCTTCATATACCACTCAATTTCTTCACCAGTGCGCAGCCTTTCGTAAACGAACCCTAGAACACTTTTTCAGCGAGGTCATAAAACACTGCAGATTAGTTGCGGAGACTTATGGAAACACGTGAGCCAATTGTAATAGCACTGCACGCAACCTAGAATTAAAAAAATAATTATCAAAGTCTGCGACGAATCGCAGGCTCACGACAAACGATGCCCTAAACGCAAATGACCCTGCCATAAACCGAAAGTCCATGGCAATGGCCCAATTTAGGATCGTAAGTTTCGTAGTTACTAAAGTCACCATGTGATGCCACCACGTGCCTGTGACGTGCTAGTGATCACGCTGAAATTATCACGCTGAAAGTAAGCCATGCATTTGTTTAAAAAAGAAACAAAGTGCTTCAGCTCATGACGCGCGCTTACGAACGGACGCGTCTTTTTGCCTCGTTGTCGTCACCTTTCCGTTTACAGTGTAGCTTTCAGTGTGCTCACTGATGTGAAGGGAGAAGGACAGAGAAAGCACTTAAAGGGTGCGGAAAATTTCTGTAGCTCCGTTCGCACACTATAGATTCTAAAAACTTTGGGGGTAGTCGATTTCTGATGCAATGACGTCTTTCACTGAAGCCATTTGATGCTTATGTGTAAAATTGTTGCGGGACACCTTTAACACGGAATGCTTCTATTGCATCACTGTAATGACTACATCTTATATTCTTTGTCTCTTTCAGTTGGCCGTTCAAAGTTTAGGGAGATTTTATTAGAGAACTTTGGGATCTATGACTGCGGATGTCGACAGTGTGGTGTTTTCTGCCGACTGCGAACGCAATTTTGTGCCCTAATGGTGTGGAATGAAAAGAATCTGACTGCAGCAACATTAGCGACAATGGACGACATGCACCATGCAGTTGAAAACATCATCTTGCTGCTTCTGTGTTGGGAATCTGAAATAAAAACAATGATTTCAGTAAAGCGGATCATCATTTCTGGGGCTGTGTCGAAATGCCTTCTGTCTTGATAGCAGACGCAAGAAACCATGGTCTGCGGTTAATCCAGAAAAATGGATCCATTTAGAGGATAATACGCGAGTGAACGACTACCATTTACGACACACGCATTTCGGGAAACCGAGGGACTGGATGGACCAACTGAGCTTGCCTTCGGTAAGTGTAGGAAGACAACCTGGGAGCGCTTAGCGGCAGATTTAGGCGTGCTTTCAGCCATCTCATTGAAATTATTATATCTTTAAACTGTATTTATAAATGCCACCAATAACCGGTACATCACACAACCTACCGCGCACTAGCCTTGATGCTACACTATGGAGGATTGAAGTTTGTTGTACGTATAGTCTCATGCTGTTAAGCGCACCATAATTGTTGCTCACTATTAAAGCATTTTACTAGTATTCCCGCGCTCTATTCGGTTCTGCTTACGATGTAAGAGAGATTACCGCGGAGAAGTGGCGCTGCGTTCGCTGCAGCTAGTGGGCTGTGTGTAAGTGCCCAGCCAGGGCGCATGCACGTGGTGTGTACGCATGCATTAAAAACCACTGTCGCACTCATCTCCAATTATCTGCAGCATGTGTTGTGCATACACGGCTTCATAGTCACCAAATATTTGAAAATCCTGATTCGCGGACTATTCGCGGCACACCGAGAAATTCTTACAGAAAATTCAGGGCGTGTTGCGCGTCACCGTGCCCCGATTAACAAAAGGCGACAAATGGAACGCAGCTTGAGCCTCGAAGTACACACATGTGCTTAACGAAAAGTCAGCTTCAGCCCCACCCTGTGTTCCGGAAGGTTTAATGCATTCTGTGATTAGGCACTCTGACCAGAAGATCTTCCCATAGGGGTGCGCAAGATTGTCCTTTAGGGCTCGGAGTGAAGTCTCTGCGTGGGGTATACCGTTCCCCGGCCCTCTTAGGTAGCGTAGGCAACAAAATAAACAGCACAATAGGAATACAAAAATGAGAAAGAAGCAAATGCGTGCGTCTCAAAATAGACTGCATCTGTCCCTCGGCTTTCGAAGGCTAAAAGTTAGGAGGAAGCAGCTCATAGAATGCAACGTCAGGGGCTTTCGGCTGCCATTGCAGTAAACAGCTTGTATCGATATCTCTGCATATTAAAAAATGGCTGCCATACCATCGTGTGAACACGAATGTCCAATGAAGCTGTATCAAGCACCGCCCACGTCAGTGTGAGGGGGAATACGTTTTAATAAAATTTTAGAATAATGGTACTGATGTTCGCTTTGTAGGCGCGGCATTGTAACTAGTTGCACAACCATTTTCAGCAAGACTTATTCTTTCCTTTTGTGGAGCATTGTGTTCATGCAGTTCTTCTGGTGTATAACTACCGTGGCCTAAGTATTCTTTGCATGGACAAAATGAGTTGCTACAAGAGTGTCATTTTTTATGTGAAAACGAAACACAAACATGAGTATATGGAAGGGCCGTTTAATGTCATTTCAAGCCCTTGTGTCAAGGGCAAAGCAGCTGAAACCTAATCTTTACTGAAACGCGTGGCTGGGCTCTCACTTTGTTCACAGATCAAAATGGCTGATTGGGTGAGGTGTGTATTCATGATTGCTTGAAATACGAGCGCGTGACGTAGACAAGTACAACTATCATGTTCACAGTTGCCTTATCATCGAGCATGTAGTTTTCAAGCTTGTTTTACGCTTTTTCTTTAATCAAACAAATACCGAGCTCAATGTTATATGGATGACTGCAAAGAACAAAAAAAGCATGCCGTATGCCTTTGTTGTTAAAGGGGCCCTAAACAAACAATCCAGAGCCGAAAATTTAGCTGTGGCGTTGCAGTTGTGCACTAGTATACAGAAAACGGGTTCTTCAGCTCATCTATCCACCTCTCAGAGTGGAATTCCTTAACGCCAGAGATGAAAACGAAATGAGTGCGCGCATCTGCTTTAGCGGTGGGCACGCGAGCGGGAGCGTCTGTGGGCAGTTTAGGGGCGTGACGTTTTGTATTTGGGGGCGAGACTGTTGCGGAGTGGGGGACACAGCTTCACTGATAAAATGATGGGCAGGTCTGACTAAGTAAAAAGATTTGCAAGGCTGAACCCCTCACGCCTTCCCTCAAGTACCCCTCTCTCTGCCTCCTGTGTACAAATTCTTATGCGAAGGAGAAGGAAATGTAGAGAAAAGGCCGTGAGGTTAACCAAGCTTTAGCTCGGTTGGCTACCCTGCACGTGGAAAGACGGAAAAAGAGAATGATAGAAAGAATAAGGAAAGAACAAAGAGAGATGGATGAACAGTTGATTTCAACCGACGCAACACGAACTCGTGCTATTAGTTTATAGGCGCTCGTGAAGTCCAGTCGCACTCACCTGTAAACTTCCTGTTGAGCGAAAGAAAACAGGTACCATAAAAATGTGTTTTCCATCCCCTTAAGGTAATCGTTGAAGCTAAAGCTTCATGCGTACAACGTTATGTGCTTCTCTGCCCCGATTGCTTTCCTGTTTTCTCATCCTGCACTAAATGATCGATCGAGTGGAAGAAGGCCATACGGTGGTCCTTGAGAGT